GTCTCAGTATTTTGGAAGAAAAGGCAATTAGATCTCTGTAAGTTCAACACCAGGCTGTTCTACATAGTGAGTCCCAGGACAACAAGGACTACAGAGAGAGACCTCTCAAAACAAACAAACAAACAAACAAACAAGTGATTAAAATAAACAAAAATAAAAATCAAACCTTGAAAAAAGATCTTTTAAAGATATCAGTTTCAGGAAGTTACAGCTATTTTGTTTATGTGGGCTCTGAGTAACAGCCTATTAGCAAACATATGGGAGTAAATAGGTAAATCCATAGCTGTGGTGCATTACTATGGCGTGTTGCGTCAGATTTTTGTGTCACCGTGACAAACATCTAACACAAACAACTTGAGCAGAAAAACTGTCTTAGTTCATAGCTTCGGTGCACAGTCTCTGGGTATCATCTGCTTGGCTTGAATACCCTGCCAGGGGGACCCTATGGTGGAGGAGGCCCATTACCTCTTGGTAGACAGGGGGAGGGGCCAAAGGAGGAAAGGAAGGGGACCACACATGCTCTTCAAAAGCATGTCCCTTTTCCTTCTTCCTCCCACTGTAAAGCTGTTACTACCTGACAAAATATTACCATCCAAAGATGACATATTTGACAACGAGATTGCTATGAGTAGCTGAGCCTGTGAGGGCATTTCCTATTCAAACCACAACTGGAAATTCACTTCTTGTGCCTCTTCTCCCTGTGCTTTGCATTATCCATTTTTTTCCACTCTAGCTCTTGAGGGGTGTTTTTAAGGCAAAAATAGTTTTTCAGGTTTATTTTATTTTATGTGTTTGAGCATTTTGCCTGCAGGTATTTATGTGTACCACATGTACGCAATTCTCACAGAAGCCAGAAGAGGGAGTCAGAATACTTGTGATTAGAGTTAAAGATGGCTGCAAACCACAACACTGGTGTGGGGAACCCAACCCTGGCCCTCTGCAAGAGTAACAAGTGCTCTGACTCCAGTCCTATCCTACAGGAAGGGGTAAGGAACCCATCAGTTTCATGGTTAGTAAATGACAAAGTCAAGACTTTAATCCAGCGGTATTGCCTATTTGCTAATCCCTAGAGTTATTAGATACACACACATCTACCTACCCCACTCCTTTTCTAAGGCTAGGTGTTGGCTATATAGGCCTGGCTAGATTGGTGTTCATTGTGTAGCCAAAGCTGTCCTCAGACTAGCTGTAATCTTCCTGCTTTCTTGTTTTGAGTGCCACAATTACAGGAATGTGTCACTAAACCTGTCTCTACCACAAAGCCATGCTCTCAGGGCATGCCCTTTTCCCCTTTTAATAAATGTGTGATAAAACACCTGTTTCTGTCATGAGCAGGGGTGCAGTAGTCGTCCATGGAAGCAGACAATGCTGACATCATGGGATTTGTGTTATTAGCATCAGGGAAGAAACACTCGCCAACTGTCAGTATTTGGCCACAAAGCTCATAGTAGCAGAAGGGATAGCTTTGACTAGTCACTGCACTATATCGCAAGGCAAGTGATCTACTTTGGGGGTTCACAGACTTTAGGAACGGATGTCTTAATTGGAATCTAAGGCATGAATAGAAATCACTTAACTAGAGACAGGTGGGAAGAGCAAACCACAATACTGGGCATCCCAGACACAGGTGAGAAAAGAGGAATGTTCGCCATGTTTTGAGACAGGGTCTCAGGTAGCCTAAACTGGCTTCAAACTCCCTATGTAGCTAAGGATGACTTAGCATCTTCTAGCCTCCACTTCTCCAGTGCTGGGATCACAGACACATGACATCGGTCCCGAGTAGAGAAACCTTTTGCCCTGGAAAAGAGCAAAATTCATAATCCGAAGTATGGTGTCCACTGAATGCATATAGATTTCTTATTATCACAAAACAAAATTAAAACAACAAAAAAAACAGATGAACAAAAGAAAAATAAAAGAAAAACTTGACAGGGTTTGCTTTTTCTCACGGGATTTTAGTAAAACAGAAAAAGTGGTCCAGTTCTGAATTTGGTGTCTAGCGTGCAGGAAACACGCAATACATACTAGCTTTTATTTAAGAACTGATCTGCAAGAAGAAGGGCAGCCTGTGAAGCTGAAGGTGCTGATCAGAGGTCATCTCATGATTTATTTGTCAGGAAAGTAAGCACTGTTCTCAGCATTAATTAAAACAAACGAGGACAATTACTAGGAACCGGTTAAGCTGAAGCCAGGCTTAATTCCACTGAAAGGCTTCAGGAAGCATCTTAATTATAATCTCCTGTTGATAACGCCTCAGGCAGCAGGTATGCACAAGTACTTTATTAGGAGGTCCACTAATTAGGAGGCCGAGCCTGCTAACCTCTAATTGTGCAATTTGCAAATATTTTCTACATCACAACATCTTGTAACCCTGTGAATTATGTCCCATTAAAAGTTATCGCTCAGCCTCAGTTTTGTTGCGTTTTCCTGTATCTCTTATTGGGTTTGTTGCTGTTGTTTGTGTTTCTGCATGGTGAACCCAAAAGCTCCTGTACTAAGCAAGCACTTGGCCATTGAACTACATCCCCAGATTCTTTTCTTCTTCCTTTCTGAGACAGAGTCTCACTCTGTACCCCAGGTTGGACCTGAAGTTTCAGCGACTGTCCTTCCTGCCTTTGCTTCTACATTTTAAAAGAGGAACTGGTAACCAGGCAACACATTTTCATTAGAAAAGCCATCTCAGTCCTTCCATCTAAATATTAAAAAGGCTCTGTCTTTGGGTACCATTGCTGGTGGGTGACGCTTCAAACCGGAGGACTTTTATAAAGTTTTTTTTTTTCTGGTGGGGAGGGGCTGCAGGCAGGGACAGATGGTCTCTCACTGTGTACCTCTCTGATTGACATGGAACTTGCAATGTAGACCTGACTGGCTTTGAACTCAGAGATCTGCCTTCCTCTGCCTTTCTGGTGCTGGGAATTAAAGACATGTGTCACCATTCTCAGCTCTTTCTAACTGGAGCAAGGTAAAAGGGATTTCAATGTCCCTACGCCCTTTTCCAAAGATCTGAGGCAGGGGCTTTGCTCTCTGTGTATCCAAAAGGATGAAGTTCAGGTTGTGTGAGGACACTAAAAGGTCAGCTAGTTGGCAAGATCGTCCAGGTTTACAGGAAATGTCACCTACAATGAACAGAGCCAGCAGAAAAGGCCAGTAGCACACATGTCCATGTGGGCATTTACCCCATCAAGGAGTTTATCACCAGACCAAAAACTGCCAAGACTACCAAAATCTCACCAGGCAGGATGAGGAAGAGACAATTGAGAAGGTGTGGAAGAGCAATCTTATGTATAGATTTCATTTAAAAAATGGTTCATTAAAAACTGGTTCAACGAAGGGGGAAAACAAAGTAAAGAACACGCATTGCATTTGTAGTAAACCTTTGAATTCAGCAAGGATAGTTTAGGTGCTCAGAGAAAAGCTACAGGCGAATCCAAGGAAGTTATGTGAGGGTGTGATCTTTTGGTTATAGACAGCATGGAAGTTTCTCTAGTCCAGAAAGCCTGCAACAATGTATCTCTTAATTTTTTTTGTTTTTGCTTTTTTTTTTGTTTTTGTTTTTGTTTTTTTCCAGACAGGGTTTCTCTGTGTAGCCCTGGCTGTCCTGGAACTCACTCTGTAGACCAGGCTGGCCTCAAACTCAGAAATTCACCTGCCTCTGCCTCCCAAATGCTGGGATTAAAGGCATGTGCCACCAACGCCCGGCATTAATTTTTTTTTTTCTTTTGAGCAGACCGTTTTCTTTTTCTTTGGAAGAATTCAGCTCTGCCCATGGGCAAAATTCCTTTCCCAGAAGGACTTTTTTTTCAAAAGGTGTTTCTGGTTCATTACTGCTTGAAGTAATTTTTCTGTCCGGTTTTAGTATTTTTTGAAGTTACAAAGATCATGCTGATATCTTCTTTTAGGAATTTTCCATTCCTGATAAATTCGGTGCTGTAATTTTTCCATTGGCGTTTTCAATGTTGGTTTTTGCTATGGAGTAAGTTGGTAATTCTGGGTTCGCCATGTAGTAGGATGTGATCTTGCTATATCCTGTGCGTGTGCTTCAACCCCAGTCATTTTCTGATAGTCTGAAGCAGTATCTAATACCCTATTTTGGCAGGCTCATAATGTATATAGAATGGGATTAATTTACAAGGACATCACTGTTCTTCAGGCTCATCGCTCACACTGACTACATGTACTGCTGGAGGTTCATTACTTGCAGTCTGTTAGTCAGCACTGTAGACCTTCCCTTTAGGCTTGTGAATGCTTAATACTTACAGAGCTGGATATGCAGGTGCAAACCCATCACCTCAGCACCTGCGACAACGCAGCAGGAAGACTGCCACATTCAAAGCCAGCCTGGGCTGCATACCAAGAAAAGGCCAGCAGGCAAGACCTTGTCTCAAAAACAAAGTTAACACGTCATGACACGCTGAGGAGAGTAAGGAAGTGACATCTGTAACCCGGTACACAGTACAGTTGCCTGTGACTGAACTAAGTCTTTCAGAAATAATACTTATTTTCACTATCTGAGATGCGTGCGTGCATGTACATTTTTCCTTTTTTTTTTTTTTTTTTTTGAGCCAGGCTTTTAGTCTGTCGCCCAGGCTGGCTAAGAACTCGAGGCAATCCTTCTGCCTCCGCCTTCCAAGTTCCGGGTTGACAGGTGTGCGCCCCCACACCTGGCTCTAACCAGAGGAGTCTTTCTGGAATTCATAGAAAACCACCACTCGCACCAGTACCGCTTCTTAGGAAACACTAACAGCAGACTCCTCTAGCATGCTCGGCAGCAGCAGTCTGTCCCAGGAGCCAGCAAAGTGAGGCGCGGCTGGGCTGTCACCAGCGCCGGCTCCCCAGAGCGCCGGAGCGTGTTCTCAGCGTGGCTCGCGCACCTACCCGAAGGGAGGCTGGGTGGATGATGCAGGGCTCGACCAGTTCCCCTGCTCTCCCGCTCAGCCCCGCCCCTCTCTTCTGGCCCCGGCGAATTCAAATCGGCCCGGCCGAAGGGCAGAGCACCGAGTGATCGATCGCTCCCGCCCCGCGAGCCGCCATTTTTGGAAGGTGGGAGGAGAAAGGCGGGTGGGCGCGGTGCCTGCTCTGCGAGATGCTGTCTGGACTTGGCGGCTCTCTGCAGCAGGTCAGGACGAGGGCAGCACGGTTGGCCGGCGCCCTTCCTCCGGCTGCGTCTCCGGAATGAGGCCTCGGCGCCCGCGCGGGACGACTCGGTTCCTCCTCAGAGCGTGAGTGCGGCGCGCGCGCCCGCCCGCCGCCGCTGTCAGTTGGCGCGCGCCCCCGGCGCCCCGCCGCGGGGCCCCCCGGCCCCCCCCCGGCGCTCGCTCGGCGCAGACTCGCTTGTTTGTTTCTGCAGGAATCCTAGGAGAGGCCGAAGCCGCCGCGATGCCGGGGAAGCTGAAGGTGAAAATCGTGGCCGGTCGCCATTTGCCGGTGATGGACCGTGCCAGTGACTTGACGGATGCCTTCGTGGAGGTTGGTTCCTGGTCCTGCCCCTGAGAGCACGGGGCGCCGAGCCCTGCCCTTCCCGCGGTCCCCGGCTCCGTGGAAGGATGCCCGCCCGCCCCCAGCCCGTGGGATGTGGCCATCGGTCCAGGACAGGTCCCGCCGCCGGGCTCGCGGTGTCCCCCGGGGTCAGGGCGTCAGTCCGACCACCTGCCGGTCCGAGGCGTGGCCGCGGAGGCGCTCGCACGACCTCGTTTGCGACTAGGAGGTTAAGGGCCATTGCTGCAGTAAGTCCACGCAGCCAGCCCTCCGGGGGCACCCGTAGTCCTATGGTGCGACTGCATCCAACCCGTACCCCGACACTGTCTGAATCATCAGTGCAAGTCACACACAACGGCAGCACTTCGGCTGCCCTTGTGTAGACTGCTAGGGAGACGAGCTGTCTCAGGGTGATTTATTGCCTTGAGGTAGGAAGTCAATTAAGTGTCATGGATTTCAATTGCAAAATTGCTTTTTAAGTCTAATGATGAGTTTAAAAGTCATGCAAATTAGCACAGGCCTACTGTCCGGAAGTTAATAACTCAGAACCTGAAAGAAGCCAAGGAGAAATTGTAATAAAAGTTGACATGATGAAGCAGACCGTCATTAGAGCAATAATCATTTGGGCTATTAATGCTTAAGGTTCAAAGACAGCATACTTCTACTCAATATATTGTTAAACGTTCTAGAACCTAATTAACTGAAATTCACTCTATTTTTTTAATTTTATTTTTATGGCATTTGTTGAGTTCGATTTCATTTTTTTTTAATGAAAAAAACAAAAAACAAAAAAACAAAAAAAAAAAAACCAAACCAGTTTGCTGTGGGCCAGATGTCAACAGAGATCTAGAGATAACTGAAGTTGTGTTGCCCTTCAGGCAGCCCGGAGGATGATCCACACAGCTGATATTAATGGCTGATATGTATTGAGCTTCATTATTGCCATCTTTGTGTTCTTTTTAAATCCTTAGTCTTTACAGCAGAGCTGCTGGGAGCCGTCTCCCCACCTTACAGGCTAGGCAGTGGAGTCATAGGGGTGGAAGTAATGTACCTAGGGTTACCTACCTTGTAAGTCTCCGCAGCCTAGCAGCATTCTCACACAACTTCTGGCTCTCTGGACAAGATGCTGGATGTTATATTTGAATGAGGGAACTTAGTTCTGTATAGGGTATAAGAGAACTGTCTAAGGCCGTGACAGCTGAGCCGAGCCATGAGAAACACCCAGGACTTTTCAGACAAAAGGAACGGCAAAGGCACAGAGTTTTGGTAAATGGAATGTTCAGGAAACCATTTTAGTATAAGGTATACCTGGAGTAAAGGAGTAAAATGTGGGTATTGGAGTTTGGAGAGCAACTGGAAAGGTGGGTTGAAGCCAAGCCCCCCACCCCCCATTTTTTTGGTTGTATATTCTCTTTGAAGGTGGGAGAAGGTTTTCAGCAGAAATGAAATTTTTTTTTTTTAAAATTAGGTTGTTCATAAGATGGCCTGAATGGGTATATTTATTTTATTCTGAAGGTAGAGCTTCACTAAGTTGCCCTAGCTTATTTTGAGATTAAAGTTGTATCTCAAGCAGGCATGGTATACACACTCTTAATCCTAATGTTTAGGAGGCAGAGGCAGGTGGATCGCTGAGTTTGAAGTCAGTATAGAGTTCCAAGGCCAGCTAAGGATACATAGACGCTATGTCAAAAATAAGTAAATAAAAACCATAAGTAAAACCTTTTTGCCTCCATGTTCTGAGTAGCTGGGATTGCAGACATATGCCGTCAAACACAGCCCTTTCTGTAAATAGGTACTGATGGTTGTTTGCTGGGCCCTGTGCTATTCTGGTTTAGCTGATGTGTATATATATGATGATGAACAAGATGGATTTGGTTTCCAACTTTAAGAAACTTTTATTTTGGTGACTAATATAGACATTTAAAAAGTAAAGAACTTATGAAGTTTATAATACAGATTAGGAAAAAATTGTTATGGGTCCCATAAGAGAGTATAATAGAGAATGACAAGAATCATCGATTTTAGCTTGTGAGGACAGTGTCAGCCAAGCAAACACCTGCTGGATGAGAGACATTGGCTACTGAGAGGCTGTAGCCTGTGTCTGTGTAAAAGGATGAGGAGGCAGAAGAGAAGCTGGAGGAGACTGGTGTGTTATGGGAATGAAGGGACATGTAGGTGGCTGTCTTCTAGTGAAGGGAAGGGAGAGTAGTGTGAGCTACATTTGGGGACATGATCAAGGGACTGATGGCGCAAGGCTTGAGAAACCACGGCTAAGATTTGAATTTTATAAACTCAGTTGGTAACTCTCATTGAACGATACTTGAATTGCAGTGTGTTGAATCCAGTCTGTGTAGTTATAACAGATAACAGGCCCACATGGTGGGTTTGGTCATGGGAAGAAGTGGACGCATTCCAGATCTATTTTGAGGGTAGATTAGAGCATTTGTTGGTAGACTGGAGCCAGGGACCAGGCAAAAGAGAAGTAAAAGGCGGTCAGCCCCTAGCTCTCTGGGGTAGGCAGGTCACGTTCCTAGAACTGCAGGAGGATAGCCATGGACTGAGAAGACTGTCTCCACCTGTGTGGGTTAGGCGGGAGGTGTCTTTTAACAACATTTGTCAGAGAGGCAGCTGATTTGTGGCTGTGATGTTAAAAGAACACCTTGAATGAAAGGCAAGGCCAGCTTGCTCAATCCTGTGAGGTCAACAACTACCCTTCAGTATTTTTATGGTTGAGCTGTGGGTGAGGAGGGCTTCCAGTCATGCTGTCCCAGTCCCAGTCATGCTGTCCAGGGACCTTCAATAAAACAGCTTGCTTCTTTTCTCTTTTTTTTTCTCTTTTTTTTTCCTCTCCTCTCCTCTCCTC